TTTTGCCTTTTCATACTGTTCATGGGGTTCTCAAGGCAAGAATACTGAAGTGGTTTGCCATTCCCTTCTCCAGTGGACCACATTCTGTCAGACTTCTCCACCATGACCCAGCCATCTTGGGTGGCCCCACATGGCATGGCTAAGTTTCACTGACAAGGCTGTGGTCCATGTTATCAGATTACCAAAAGTTTACATGCACTCAATGTTTTTGGAAGGTAAGTGAATAGAAATTAGAGAAGGTAAAGTTAAAACAGGAAAGTGCTGAACTACACAAGAACCCAAAGTATCTGAACTTTCCTTTTGTTGGTACCAATAGTGACGAGAACTGAGAGCATTTCACGTACTTTAAAGCTCAAATTTCCTAAAGCACACGTGGGGGTTCTAATGGTAGGAGGAGCACTCATAAGGGCTTTACCAAGAAAGCGTACAATCTCAGACCAAGCACATGCCTGAAGATGTGAAACGACACAGCCACTCTGGAAAACAGCTTGTTAGTTTCTTATAAAGCTGAACACAGATCAAGCAATGATGCTCCTAGATATCTATCCAACTAGTTGAAAACTTATGTCTATCCAAAAACCTACACATAAATGTTTAAAGCATTTTTACTTATAATTGCCAGAAACTATAAACAACCAAGCTGTCCTTTAATAGGTAAATGAATAAGCTAGTATATTCATACAATGAAGTTTCATTCATATAATGTATTATTCATACAATACAATCAGACAATGAATGAATGATACAACAGTATCATTCATACTATAATAAAAAGAAATGAGCTACTGAAACAGCCACAAAGAGAAATTTTCTAGATCATATTGCTAAGTGAAAGAAGTTGATCTGAAAAGGCTACATACTGTATGATTCAAACTATAAGATACTTCGGAAAAAGATAAAAACTATAGTGACAGTAAAACTACAGCGACAGTAAAACTACAGCTATTTGTCAAAGTTTCAGGTGGTGGGGAGTGAGGGAGGAATAATGGAGCACAGGGGTGTTTTAAGGAAGTTAAACTGTTCTGTATAATACTATAATGATGATACCTAGTATTACACATTTCTCAAAACCCACAGAATTGTACAATGAACCCTAATGTAAACTGTGGAACTTAATAATGTATCAATATTGGTTATTATTGGTTTATTTATTGGGCTTCCCTGGTAACTCAGATGGTAAAGAATCTGCCTGCTACGTGGGAGACCTGGGTTCGATCCCTGGGATTGATACTCTGGGAAGATACTCTGGAGAAAGGAAAGGCTACCCACTCCAGTATTCTGGCCTGGAGAATCCCTGTGGACAGAGGAGCCTGGCAAGCTATAGTCCATGGGGTCACAAAGAGTCAGACACGACCGAGCAATTAAGCACATGGGTTTATTAACTGCAACAAATGCTACCTATAAAATGTTAATAATAGGGGAAACTGTGTGTAAGATGTAAATGAGAAAACCTCTCAGCTAAATTTTTCTGTAAACCTACAACACTCCAGAATGAATGAAAATTTTCAAACACAAAAAACAGTTCAGGTGCTGCCAGTCAAAATGAAACATAAATGTCTTTCATAGCTTCCCTAAAAGCAACACTAGCAGTATGGATGTCAGGAGTGATTCCTTCCAGTGTAATTCATAAGCCAAAAGACCCACTATGTATGTGACATTGTATAAAATATGTTTGCTATAAAAAATGAGAAAATATTGATGAGTATTTTAGATAATCTGGATAGTCAACCATAAGAAAATTAATTTGATCTCAAGAGGTGGAACAGAAATCATCTCATATTCCCAAGAAGAAACAGAATGATATTCCCAAGAGAGTAAAGACAAAGGACAACCTATCTGTTATCCTAAATTGTTAACAACATGCATGTACATGAGACTTCCTTCTGTTAGGAACTGTCTTCAGCTTGCTTCTTTACTCTGGGCACCAACCAGGTGGTGTCATATCACCACAGGCAAGCTCTAATTTGGCCATGCTTGGCACAGCAGTAAGTTCCTGAGTTAAGACAAAGAGATGTGTGTTGTTAACTGTTACCTACTTTTGTTCAGTTCCTTACAGTCTACCGTAGCTATTGGTCCATTCTCTTACACTTATACTCAGTATCAGTCATAATTATCTCAGCTTACTATAACTACATCTGTTGACTTAAGTCCTGACTGATGTACCTACAGTTTCTTCAGTCTTTTAAGCATTCATTGAGTGCTTCAATTCAAATTCAGCAAATATTTACTGAAGCTCATTTCACCCTCAAAGCTACACCTACTGTAACCTCTATCTCAGAGAGAAGTTAAATAATTTGTCTTAAGTCACCCAAATCAAATCTATCGACCAATCCTATGCTTGTTCCACTTACTGATGTCTCTCCCCTAACTAGTTAGAATTTAAAGCTTTATTCCATCTCTTGACACCTGACTTTTCAAAACCTACCTAAAAACATGTCTTCTAGAACTACTGACTCCACCTGATCCTTCAAATCTTGCTCTAGTATGCTCTTCTATTCCCAGCTCCTTTCTCTGTATCCATCTACACAATCACTACTATATGCTAGTCATGGTGCTCTTAAGATCTCAAGAAAAATTCTGCCAAAAGAATCTCCTTTTGAAAGAAAAGAGAGAAATAAGTCTTAAGAGGGCATTCTGGTCTTGTTTCAGCCTATTGTCTTCCCTTTAACAGACTATACACCATAGGAACTACATCAGTGTACTGTAATTTATTGCTTCAGAGATTCTTTCTTGTATTACACTATAAACAACTTGAAGCCAGTGATTTGCCTGAGGCAACAATGATAAAAGGCACTCCCAGAGCCTTAAAGTAAATGAATATCTGCCACATATTATTTTTAAGGGAGAAAAAAACCTGTTTAACAGAATTGAATTTTATCATAAAAAGCAACTTTAGTGAAATGAAGTTGCTGCTAAAAGCTATCAGAGCACGTGTGAAAATAAAAACCAGTGTATACTTTTCATACCACGTTTATTTAAAACAGAAAAATGTAGAACACAAGTCATCACTTGATTTTTCAACAGCAAAGTGAACAGAGTAGTCTGTTATCTGGTAAGCAAATAATTGCCCACTGCAGACACTAAGTTTATAAAGTAACAAAATACGATTGTATTTCTCTTAGTTTCCCAAGGAAGCAATATGAATAATGGAGCAAAAAAGCTTTGTGTGATCTTGAGCCTTTCTGAAACTCATTTTGTTTCATCTGCAATAGGGACAGGATTGCTGAAAGAATTAAATAAGATCATAAAGTTCTTAGGACATGTTTTTTCCCATAGTGAGAACTTAAATTGTTCCTTCTCTTCCCTCATTTTCTATGTCCTTAATCGTTGTTTCCTTACTCAAAACATTAAAATCCGGACCATACAAAGTAGCTGTGAGAATTAAGTACATAGCTTGGCACATCACAGGTACCTATGAAAGCCCATCATTCTCATCCCTTTAGGATTTCTGAGGGAATGAGGCATCAATGAAATAACAGAACTTTATTAATAAGGCCCTGGGAGAAAAACACACCAGGAATTGTGTGTTTGCTTTTAGGGGGGAAGGGAATTCTGGTAAGAAAACATTTTATTATAATATAATGCAGGCAGTCATTTAATCATATAATTAAATCATGATTTCATAATGACTTGAAGTAATGATCTATAATAATCATTAAGGCACAAGGTTAAACTTAGTTAAAAAACGTTCAGGGACTAGTGTACTGTTTGCTTAAAGTAAAATAAAAACAAGTTCAGTGGCAACTAAACAGAAACACAAGAAATTTAACCATTAATTAGTGAGACATTTTAGAAGCAGCTTCAAAAACAGTCTCATTTCATTTTCCTATGAAACCAGAACAACAGTGTGAACTGGATTTTAAAATATTAACAGGAACCCACTGCTGTGATGCCTCATTCTGTTCTAAATTTTGCATTCTTCTGAAAGAAAATACATGTGTACTAGATATCAGAAAATAAACATTTCAGTTTCCTTACCTGTTGTGTTCCATCTGCACTTACAATAGGGGCAGACAGAAGAGAAATATCACTACTTAAAATCTGAGTTGTATCCAGTAGTGGTGGATGTTCTGCCATTATCAATAAGACATTAATATACCGGATAACCCTCCAACTCTGAAAAACAAAAATATATAGCCATTTGTATGTACATCCTTAAAAATACACTAAAATACAACGCATTCAAGATAAAGAGATATTCTTGTCAGAGGAAATCTTATATATTCTGCGGACTCTTCTGTCAACAGATATATTCTGCTGACTCTTCTGTCAACAGATATATTCTGCTGACTCTTCTGTCAACAGATCATTTAAGGAAACACATTTCTTATTTACCAACTGTCTGTTAATGTAGACAGCAAATCAAGATATGTTATCAGGAGCTTCTATTTAAATTCCATGTCTGTCTGTCTGTCTCTCTATTCCTTCCATCTCTACATACTATCTGCTTAACTACCACTACTTTAGCTAAACCCTAGAATAAGAATTAAAATGCATGACTGAGTGAGGCAACTCTATCACTGATTCTTTTTAATTTGAGCTGAGAAGGTGTTTATGAAGAAAAAATTAACTCTCATCACCCTATCAGTCTCTAGGAACTATACAAGAACTACAATCTTTTATTGATTCCTCAGACAGAGCAAAATGGTAGAAAAATTTCCTTAGGATTAGAAAAAGAAACTTCAAGTTTTAAGGGTTAAGTTCTGGCTTTGGTCTTCTATCATTCTGGTTTTATTATTTCTTCCTAAGAACCTTACAGCAAGCCAAATCATTTCAGTGATAAAAGCTCATACATTTAGAACACTTTAACTGTATACACAGTATCACTTGTTATATATTTTATAAAAAGTAAAAGATTTGAGGTAGTATCAATCTACCATATATAACATCAACCCATGTCAGCAAATCATATGTCAAAATAACTACAACTGAGGTCAATCATAAATTCTATCAAATCTATACTGAAAGGTAAAATAAACATTTTTGGATGCTTGCAGTAGTCTACAATTCAGTAGGGTCAAAATGTTTAGCTTTTTAAGATGGAATTTGTTTTTATGTATTCATTCTGGCTGCGCTGCCTGGCATGTGAGACCTCAGCTCCATGGCCGGTATCCAGCCCTCACCCCTGGATTGCTTTCTTGTATAGCCATATTCACGCTACATGCAAAGCAGGTGGTTTTACTTCAGCTTGCAAATTAGAAACTTCAGTCATGCAACTAAAACGTTGCATTTGGAAACCTAAAAGTTCCTTTCATTCCTGCCCAGAGAACACTGTCAGCTTCTTTCAATCAATTTCTTTTAATTTTGCTACTACTCAGTTCCTATGTTCTCATCTTATCTTGCGGCCACAAATATACCCACTTGTTTTAAATTATGCATCTATTTTCACTTGTTTTTTTAGTAAATTTGATATGTGAAAAAAAAAAGAAATGATTTGTCGCACTTGCTAATTTCTATGGAATGAATACACATTCCCCCATGGTCCATTTCAAGCCATCATGGTTTAAAAACTGATTTGAAAATGCCTGAATTCTTAACAATCATTTTTGTACCCAAGTACAAGATGGCTCCAACGTTTCACTCTCTATATCAATATTTGACCATCAATGTGATAGTAATACAATAAAATATTAATGTCTAGCAAGTCTGGGTGAAGAATAGCTGGATATCTTTGTACTATTGCAAATTTTTTTTCTAACTAATGTCAAATTAAACAATGCTTAAAAAATTGATGCCAGATAGACTGCATATCTGAATGCAAAAGGTAAGACAAAAAACCTCCTAAAGATAACACAAAAGAAAATCTCATAACTGTGAGACAGAGAAAGGTTTTTTAAACAGGGTATAAATTATGTTTCTTAAATCATAAAGTAAAAGAATGACATACTGAACTTAATTAAAATTAATAACTATGATTCATTTAAAAAAATCTTTAAGAGAATGAGAAGGCAAGCCACAGAATGAAAGATATTTACAACATATATAACTGTAAAAGAGCACATATTTAGCAAATTCAGGCCTCCTAACAAATTGAGTTTTTTAAAAAAAGAAATATGAGATGAGACCTGAATACACTCTTCACAAAAATGGAAATTCAAGAGACCAATAAACATGAGAAGATTCTCAAGTTCATTACTGGGAAAAAGTTAATTAAAATCACAATGAAATGCTACCACATACTAGGATGATAAAAATGGAAAAGACTAATGATACCAAGTATTAGTGAAGCTGATCCATGGGGTCGCAAAGAGGTGGACATGACTGAGTGACTGAACTGAACTGAAAAGAGCAACTGACACAATCATATGGAATGTGAATGAAAACTCATAAAAATCACTTTGGAAACCAGTTTGATATTATCTACCAAAATTGAATGTATATGAATATTCTATGACCTGGCTATGATTCAGCTATTAGACTCCTAGCATACACCAAAAAGTGGAGAAGGAAATGGCAACCCACTCCAGTATTCTTGCCTGGAGAATCCCGTGGATGGGGGAGCCTGGTGGCTTGCCATCTATGGAGTCGCACAGAGTCGGACACGACTGAAGTGACTTAGCAGCAGCAGCATACACCAAAAAGAAATGCATGCACATGTGTATCAAAAGAAAAGTATATGAAGGTATACAGCAGCATTCATCTTTAACAGCCCCAAACTATAAGTAATCTAAATGTCCCTTAACAGTAAATGGAACACTGTATCTGATTCATCCAACTGACTACTATACAGCAATAAAAATTAATGGACTAGTGATACAGAGAACAACAAAAATGAATTTTACAAATACAATGTGAGTAAAAATAGACACAGAAGAGTACATACTGAAAAATTTATAGAAAATTTAAAAACCAATTAAATTTGTCTGGTATGAAAAATCAGGTAGTGACTGCCTTTGGAAAGGAAGAAAGGATGGGGACCGGGAGGGGCATGAAGGCAGTTTTGGTGTTGCTGCTATTATTCTACATCTTGACCTGGGAGTCTGTTACATGGTAATTACTAGTGTGTTATAGGCTTCCCTGGTGGCTCAGAGGGTAAAGAATCTGCCTATAATGTGGGAGACCTGGGTTCAATCCCTGGGTGGAGAAGATCCCCTGGAGAAGGAAATGGGAACCCACTCCAGTATTCTTACCTGGAGAATGCCCATGGACAGAGGAGCCTGGCAGGCTACAGTTGATGGGGGTCACAAAGAGTCGGACACGACTGAGCTACTTTACTTTCAGTGTATTATAAATTTAGCTGTATCTATGTACGTACTTCTCTGCATATACTTCAATACAATTATTTTTTAAAGTTAAAATGAACACACGATCACCTCAATTGATGCAGGAAAAAGACACTTGATAAGATTCAACACACTTTCATGATAAAAAGACTCAACAAACTAGGGACAGAAAGAATCTGCTTCAACATAATAAAAGCCACGTGTGAAAACCTCAGAGCTAACATTATACTCAGCGGTGAAAGGCTGAAAGCTCTCTTCTAATTAGGAAAAAGGTTAGAATGCCCACTCTCACCACACCTATTCATAGTATTGGACACAGTACTAGAAGTCATAGGCAAAGCAATTGGGCATGAAAAAGAAATAAGAAAATTGAAATAAGAAAAAAGATTGAAGAAAAAAATTGAAAAAATAAATAAGAAATTGGGGATAAGTAAGTAAAACTATCTTTGTTCACAGATGACAGGATCTTACATGTAGAAAACCCTAAAGATTTTTTAAAAAAAACTATTAGAGCAAATAAATTCAGTAAAAATACATGACATGCAATCAATGCACAAAGATCAGCTTCATTTCTATACACTAACTGAAACAATCTCATATCTGTTCCATGTAGAATAAAATAATCAGGAATAAATCTAACCAAAGAGAACAAAGGTTTGTATACTAAAACCATGAAAGGTTGCTAAAAGAAATTAAAGAGGACATGAATAAACGGAAAGATACCCTGTGTTCATAGTTAGAAGGCTCATTAGTGTTGAGATGTCCATAATACCCAAAGCAATTACAGACCAAATGTAATCTCTATCAAAATCTCAACGGCACTTTTTTTTTTCTTCAGAAAAATTCAGTCTAAAATTCCTATGGAATCTGAAGGAATCCAAAACAGAAAAATAGTTTTGAAAAGAACAAAGTTGGAAGACTCAAATGTCCTGATTTCAAAACACATTACAAAGCCATAGTAATCAAACAGTGTGATAATGGCATAAAGATAAATACACCAATGGAATAAAACAGAGGGCCCAGAAACAAACTGTCATGTATATGGTCAAATGATCTTTGACAATGATGCCAAGACCAGTCAACAAGGAAAAGGCAGTATCTTCAACAGTGTTGGGAAACTGCATATCCACATGCCAAAAAAAAAAATTTTTTTTTTTTTCAAATGAAGTTAAACTCTTATCTTGTACACCACATTCAAAAATTAACTCAAAATGAATTAAAGACCCAAATGTGAAACCCATAACTTTCCAAGAAGATGACAGGGGGAAAGTTTCAAGACACTGGACTTGGCAATTATTTCTTAGATATAACACTAAGAGTAAAGTCTACAAAAACAAAAACAGACAAATAGGACATCAAACGCAAATACTTTTGTGCATCAGAGGACACACTATGAATAGAGTGAAAAGGCAACCTATGGAAATGGAAAAAAAATACTTGCAAACTTAGCTCTAGTTGCTACAAAATACCACAGATTGGGAGGCTTAAACAACAGACATTTATTTCTCACAGTTCTAGAGGGTAGGAAGTCTAAGATCTGGATGCGAGCGTGGTCAGGTTTTTGGTGAGGGCCCTTCTCCTGGCTTGCAAAGGACTACCTTCTTTCTGTACCCTCACATGGCCAAGAGAGAGAAAGCTCTGGTCTCTCTTCCTCTTCCTGGATTTAAAGGGCACCAATCCCATCATAGGGGCTCCACCCTCATGAATCACCTACCTCACAAAGGCCCCACTCCTTAATATCAACACAGGGCTATGACATACGAATTTTGGAAGGACACAAACACTTAGTCCATACTAAATTCTGCCCCTGCCCCCCCCCATTCATATCCTCTTTTATGTAAATTAAAAAAAAAAAACCACAAAAAAACCCAACACATTCATTCCATCCCAATA